ACAAAAATGATTAACTCAATATTAATTATTTTTATAATACGTACAATTTTACATTAAAAATAATATAATATTTTCACAACAAAAATATTAATTGCTGTTGATAATTGTTGTTGTTCACCAGGTAAATAATTATGTTTTTTTTTTTTGTTTTTTGCAGGTGAGTATCTTCATAAAATAATGTGCTGAGGTGGTAGAATAAATTGAAATCTATTTAATAACTTCGAAACGTAAGTACGTAATGTTATAACTGCCGATTCGCCCTGGTACAATGCAGTGAAGTGTAGTAAAAACTGAATTCTATTGGATTGTAGATTAAAAAACGATTCCAGAAGCACTTTTAGTGCGCTTTATCGATACTAATTTTCAATTCAAACATAGCCCTGAATATTCCCTGAATATTATAGGCAAACAAACTAGACAATATTTTTATTCATTATTTTTATATATAGAAAATTTAGTTACTTGTTATTGTTGATTTAACTTGAATTGTAGTTAAATTTAATTTTTCCAACAATATGTGTGAGGTCGGTTTGACTAGTCATAAAGCATTTAAAACTAATTTATTATGTTGATTTTACTCCAAAGTATAATAGTTGTAGTAATTAAAATTTACAATTCAATTCAACTACCAATTTCAGTTGATTTGACTATTTAAAATAACTATTTGTTGTAGCTAAATGGCCTCTGGTGTAATAGATAATTTAAAATCGGTAGTTAAGTAAAACCATTTGGTATTTTTATTTTTTATAATTAAGTACTTAGCATATTTTATTTATTTTATTAATATAAATATACATACAACACATAATTCATTGATTTAATTATAATTTTAGAGTGATAAAAGTCAGGCCGCTGGTATTATTTACGACGGTGGGTAGAATAAACACATTATAATTCATACAAATAAATACGTACTAAATATGTAGTAAGTGTGACATTAAATATTAAATGCTTGGAAATATTCGTCAAAGTATAAAGTATTAAACTGTTTACGAATCGCGAACGGTTTATTTAAATTATTAACAAATAAAGACTCAATCAATCCAAATGTTGGCAGCATATAATTGTATTCACTGGATAAACACTACACAATGAACATATTTTTACAATCATATAAAATCCGTTTTAAACGAACCCACGGAAGAGACATTGTACGATCTTTATAAAAATCGAATGAAGTAGACATGTATGAAATATGATTACTATACAAGACTATATATATAGATAGATAGGTAGCAATAGTATGTTTAATATTAGCCAATCATCAGTCAGTCGATCCATCCACGTCGTACAATAACAATTATAATAACATACTATATTATATGATTATTAAGGTACGGATTCAAATCCTCTTAATGCTTCTGCTAAAACAATACAGATGCCTTGGGAAATACAATTTAATGCACTTAAATAAATTTACTAAACAAAACAGTGCAAATAATGGAATGCGACTACATTACAACTCGATAAATAGCTTATCGGTTTCCTTATTTGCAGCCGACATCGTATATTTTATTTGGTACAATCTATAATACATTTTAAAAATAAAAATATTAAATAATTTTTTTTTTGTTTCAAAAGGAAATAAAAATAAATTTTATCCGATTGTCCGTGGACACTATGAAGTTTGTGAAAAGATTGAAAAAAAAAAATAAAAAAATGCCTCAAAAACCTGAAAATACACTTGAAATGTCAACAAATATTCTAAAAATGCAAAACAAACTGTTCGTTTGTTAGTTCTCCGACGATAATATACGAAACGAATTTTGCGCTCGGAAAGCATTGCTTTTAGGACAGAATTTAGAACAGGGGAAAAAAAACGCGATTCGCATTATAATCCGCACCCTGATTGTGTCACACACGCGGCGCGTTGTAATTCAGTCGTCGCCGTAGATAACGGAAACGACTTGCCTCCCGGCGGGCGGGTACGCGGCACAACGCCGCGCGCTCGCTATAACACCGCGCAGGTACACAATACGTGTGTGTGTGTGTGTGCATGCTGAGGGGTGGCTCTATAACGACCTCAACGTGAAGCAAGCAATAAATGACTGAAAACGTGTAGAGCGTGTAGTTAAATTAAAAAAAAAAAAAAATCCCCGTAAAAATATATCGGGTTTCTTAAAACGTATCACTCTGCGTTAACGACGAACGATAACATTATAATTACGATACCGGATGACGCGTTAACGGTTTATCGCATTGAACACACGCACGTCAAGGCACAGAGTAATAATGCACGGAGTAAGATGTACGTATTCGTTCTTGTTACCGATCGCGCTGCACTTAATCGTTGTGTTTGCTTCACTTTCGCTACCCGGCACGTGTGCGCACTCAGTTCATCTCTTTACGTTATTGGTCCACGGTGCACGCGGCGGCGGCGGTCCCGCGAAAATCCCGGGTGCGCCGTTTCTCCTCGCTCTCAAACGTTCTCGCCGCACGCGCGTCGGTAGATGGCACGGGAAAATGGATTTCCGCCGACAATGATTTTTCGTACATCGCGCGCGTGCCCGACCGCAACACCCGAGTTCGGCTCGAACCTGAAACGTGCAACCGGTGCAACAGGCAAAACTCACCCCCGGCAATAACTTGTTCCGGGGAGTGAGATTTTTCCTGGACCGACAGGCGACCTTCTTACTCCCGTGCACTCTCACTCCGCCGATTGTATCGGCCGAAGAGTAACGTTTGATGGAAATCCCTGCGCCCCCCGGCGATTTTTATCAGGTCCCTCTCAAAAATATCACACTATATCGATACCTGATTAATATATTGTACTATCGTTATTATTGAATTACCGTCCGTGTCAACGTGAACGTAAAACACGATTACCGTATATTCCCGCAGTAAAATATTCGTATTAGTTCTCTTTCGGAAGCACTATTATTGTAATCAACGGTATTATACTTTTTTTTTTTTTACCTATACTATACGTCACGGTATTATTATACGGGTAATTTAGTTACAACGATAACGCAAATATCGGTATCGGTGTTGTGCGATGTTTTTGAGAGAGACCGAACACGAATGTCCAGGGATTAAGAATGTCGCTCCTTGACCAATGTCACTCACTAGTGAACTTTCGCCGACCCGGGTGTTTCGAGCGGTTTCAGCCGTCGTCGGACCCGATTCTACTCCGAGGAACCCGGCGTCCCGTGCCCGTAGACCAACTGCCCGGCGGTCGGCGGAGAACCGCGTTCGGGCCTTGGGAACTCACCTACACAGGGGGCCGGGGCCCGCGTTATTCTTCCGCATTGTATTATTGTTAATGATTTATGCGTGACGATCGGGTCGCACGAGAAATCCGAAAAAACGTCCGATGCGTGTTCTACAATAATTACCGCAGCTACTTTTCGAAGTTAAGCGCAATTATTGTTATTGTACGGGCACACGAATGCCAACATAATTGCATGGGTTTTTATTGTCCCGAAAAAAAAAAAAAAGTTTTCCGGACAGGAGGGTACAACATTATACACGCCGATATTAAATACACTTAAACCCACTCCTCTTTGCACTATAACTAAATACAGTAATTCCGTACAGTTTTTGCGCGTATCTGAGAGTTAATTAAAAAATAAATACAAAAAAAAGAGTTGAAAGTGCGGACGGGTATGCCGCTGTTGTTGGTTGTAAGCATTGAGAAGACGCGATACGTCATGACACATTAGAGTTATTTAATTTGTGTTTGTACGAAACGATAAATTATTGTTGACAAAGTACGATTCTAAACGAAGTTTAGTTGTATAATATGTCGTGTATGATACATTATATTCCGTTATTTTTACGATGTTCATCAGAATTTTAACTTAAAACGCTTATAAAAATAACTTTACTGCGTTCGACTTTTTTTTTATTTGTCCATTAATTAAAACCTATGGTGAACTTCGTGTACAATTCTCAAGCATTTCTTCCAAAATCGAAAATAATGAAATCGTTATTGCTGTAAACCTTTTCGTTATTCCTGCGTTTTTTCCCAGTTGTGCTTAATTATTTCAAGAAAACTACCAGAAAATAATGAAATCGCATACGCCATAGTTAAACCAATGTAATATCCCTGACTGTGTTCGGGATCTAAAAATGTACAGAAAAACGTGCATAATATTATTCCGAAATCGGTCCGATAAACAACGCGAAAAAACATGTTACGCGGTATGTTATATTGTATTAGCATACTTGCTTAACATTTATAAAATGTACATGTTTACGGATCGATACCCGGTCACTAATATGATGGATCACCATTCGTGTGCGTCAAAAATATTATAAATTCGTGGAGATGTGACCACGCGGCAGATGGCTTTAACAAATTCCAAAACTCCCGTATAATAATATTATTATTATAAACAATAACATCTCTGCAAGGCTTACCGTAAACGATTTTATTTATTTCGTTTTCACGTTTCATTTGTAAAACGTATAAAAACGCACGAGTTATTCCTCTCTCGTGATATTAATTGCGTTTAGAAGAAATAACACGAGTTTTAAATTTGTTTTGCTTTGCCTCTTTTGCTCTTTTCCGAACTGTAATTTATTGTAAACGGCCACTTTAGTCCCAAGTGACAGGGTGTCCACCTGATACGGTCTACAACACGTGTCTTTATACCACTGAATCGTATCTGACAGTCTTTTTTTCGGTCCTCCTATTCTCCTTCGAATTTCCGAGTACACGAAAAACGTCAGGGGAATTTGTATACTGGAATTTCGAATAAACATTACACAACGACAATAATAACTATAACTTATTATGTATGGTCTCGGGTAACAATCAATTGATTATGTAGGACAGCGTTGAATAATAGGTCGTAAGGTTTGACGATAAGGTCGGCGATGGGTTTAAAATAGGTATATGGGTCAACGTTTTCCGAGGATATTATCATTTTCATTCATCTAAACTATACTACATAGTGGTTTCGGCTTGAATTAATCATTTGAGTTAGTTACACGATTAAACACTTCTTCTGTTCAGTTATGTAAACAACTAATAAGAACTTTCTGTCTATTAATCGTCAAGTCGTTAAGACTTCTGGGCCAATCACTTCTCCACACAGCCTATCCTCGATCTGTTCTTCTCTATTGTTCGCCACTTCTTTCGGATTATTCACTCTATAAAGACATATATTTGGAGATCTTCTGTTTTAATCGTTAGTCTATCCATATTTTGTCTGTCCGACGGTCGCATTTAGTCCTCTGCGGGTCCTCTGTTCTAGTGTATATTTCGTTACGCTATTCGACATCCTCTCTCAATCTATAGGTACATACGAGTATGTGTAACCATCTGATTTGTTTTTTTTTTTAAATGTTAATATTGCTCACTTTCTCAAAAAATTCTTTTAAATAAAAATATAAGAACTGAGAACGATACACAGGAGAAGACCTGGGTTATACTATGATCGTATAGTATAATAATTAAATGTACAGGCACGTTTCGCAGTAGCAATTTCTGTTCACTCGCCCGGTGCGAATAAGCACTGAATAAATACATATTATTATATGAGTATGTGCAACGACAAAGAAAGGAGCATTTTACAAGAGGTTTTTTTTACGCCTACACGCTTTTTAAAGTACACAGAGTGATCGACACAAGCGCAAAACACTCATTATCTCGGGATTTATTTTTCATAAAATTTAACAAATAAGTAACTCTAAAATGTTACGTTGATTTGTCGTCGCTCTTGTCGTAGAGGACGAAACCGCTGCCCAATTTTGATTTTCAAATACCCAGCCAACGTATATGGTAAATTCCGCGTAAGAGGATTACGAGTTTAAATACGTTTTGGTGTTGCCGGCGACCCGTCGACGAAATATTTCACTTCGGGGTCGGTTAACGGGGTAAGAGCAGTGGTGCACTATTTGCGCGGCGGCACGGCGTAGACGGATGCCGCGTACACCCGGCGTTTGTACGGTGCCCCCATACCGCTCACGCCGCTCACACCGCACGCGCGTATAAACGTAATATCCCGTAAAAGCGTTTGGCGATTGGTCACCGATGAAAATCGAGACGTCGGTTACAAAATCCTAGGGCCGTTTCGTATCTTAAACGCGCTGTACGAATTTGAAGAAAAAAAAAAAAGAAAAGAAACGCCGAAAAGAGTCAACACTTCCTCCGAGCGTTAACGCGCCACGTCGGTCGTCCCCACGTATAATGCGCACGCGGTACGCGGCGGAGTTACGACGGGGCGTTGTCGCCGCGCGCCGGTGTCGCGTTCGCCGGGACCAAACGCCGCGACGACGGCCGGGGATAAATAGGCACTTAAAAAACCCCCTCTTCTTCTCGTCTAGCCGCCGGTGTAAACAGCGGAAAAACAACAACAACAGTTTAACGCGAATAAATAATAATACGTAATGCATAAACCATTAGGTAGGAGCCCGTGGTAACCGCACGTCGGGCGGCGGTAATGTTTATAACGCCGGCGTTGTATAAACGACCGGAACGATATAATTCCTACGGCGGATTTCGCGTTTTGACGCGTCGCCGTCGGCCGGTACATTGTGCAGGGTACGTGCTGTACGGGGTGCCCACGTACAGTAAGTGCACACGACCGATCAATGTCGTACCCCGCACGGGTACGAACCGCAAGGGGAGAAGGGGTGGGGGGAGAAACCCGTTAAACCGTCCGGACAACGTATTACGCGGTAAAGATTTATACGGCAAGGAGAGGAAAACAGAAAACGTCTACCGCGTGTACAATATTTATTTTTTTTTTTTTCTATTGCCGACCGTCGTTATTTTTTTTTTTTTTTTTTTTTTATAATCGACGTGATAATTTTTCCGCCAGACTACGCGAACGGGAACAAACGAAAACGTCACATATTTCGCACTGTGCCGCTGTCGCACCGAGCGCGCAAGACGAGAAACGTCGTGTAAATAAAACATAATTTAATTTTCAAAAGAAAGAGACGTACTAAGATAATGGGGACGGGTGCAGCCACTGTTATAGATAATTTAATGTATACCTGTAAGCAGCAATAGACCATTACTAACGAAAAAACGATTCTGAGCGGAGTTCAATTGAAAGTGATGCTTCGTCAACAATATATATATATATAAGTCGTATCCACTTAGTGTAATCGTATTTTTCATGAAATGAATGTTCATTTCATGAACTACGATCATAACGTGTAAGTCAAATTTTAGTTCATGAAACGGACATATATTTTATCCATTTCATGAAATGGAAACTCTTATTTTACACTTTGTGTAATGTTTTAAATTAATTACATCAATAGGTAACTTTTCGTGAAATCGAAATAATAACATTGATACTGGTACGTATCGCACCGTACTATATTTATTATTAATAAATTGTAAAGATGAGATATCGACCGTTCAGCAGATAAATTTTAGTCGATAAAATATATATTTAATCAAAATTCAATTGAATCAATTGTATAAGTGTGATACGACCAAGGCATTCTGGAAAATCTGTATATTATATTATTTTTATATGATGCCAGTACGTCCTTTAACTTGAAGCGAGCCGTATATTAGCGTTAAAATGGAATTTGATTCATTTTCTNACGTGTAAGTCAAATTTTAGTTCATGAAACGGACATATATTTTATCCATTTCATGAAATGGAAACTCTTATTTTACACTTTGTGTAATATTTTAAATTAATTACATCAATAGGTAACTTTTCGTGAAATCGAAATAATAACATTGATACTGGTACGTATCGCACCGTACTATATTTATTATTAATAAATTGTAAAGATGAGATATCGACCGTTCAACAGATAAATTTCAAATTATAAACAAATATTTAATGTAAATATTAAATAATATTATTTAAATATTTATTATCTAATTTTTAATCCAACGGAATAAAACGTGAACTGCTGAGCGTAAATTTGCTATGTTACGTGTTTGTAAGACAAGCCCTGATGGCTGATTGTAATAATTTTATTTGAAGTGTCTTAATATATAATTTTTATTTACTAATATTTTGTATATTTTAACGATTACTTACATTTTTACTTTTGCTGCTAAAATGTCTTCAATCATTAATTGAACGTCAATTTTGGTAGGTGGCTTTTTCCCAGGCTTGTCTACGTAGTACGCATTTAACTGTTCATAAAATTCAGAAAATGAATCAAATTCCATTTTAACGCTAATATACGGCTCGCTTCAAGTCAGAGGACGTACTGGCATCATATAAAAATAATATAATATACAGATTTTCCAGAATGCCTTGGTCGTATCACACTTATACAATTGATTCAATTGAATTTTGATTAAATACGAGTATATATTTTATCGACTAAAATTTATCTGCTGAACGGTCGATATCTCATCTTTACAATTTATTAATAATAAATATAGTACGGTGCGATACGTACCAGTATCAATGTTATTATTTCGATTTCACGAAAAGTTACCTATTGATGTAATTAATTTAAAATATTACACAAAGTGTAAAATAAGAGTTTCCATTTCATGAAATGGATAAAATATATATCCGTTTCATGAAAAATATGATTACACTAAGTGGATACGACATATATATATATATATATATATATATGTATCATATTATAGTAAAATAATTAAATAGACTATATATTTTCTTTAAAAAAATTAGTTTAATTTTGCTAGTTTTTCAACATTTTTCTCGGTATTCCTACGTTTTATCCCGGGTTTTCATATTTACTGGAAAAACTCTTTGGAAAATCGAAATATGACCTCCTTAAAGAACATTCCCAGTAAAATTTCTTTCAGAAAAAGTGCTGCACGTAAAAATTCGAGCTAGTCTTCTGGTAGAAAAGTTACGCACAGATAAAAAAAAAATCTCTGTGAAATTACAAGCTTCTTCGCTCCACTCAGAATCATAAACGAATCTGAGCAATCGATTTGCTGCAAAGCACGCCTTTATAAATATATAAATCGTAAACCGTATAATAATATGTAAAATAAAAAATAAATTATACTAATTTGTTAAGGTTTTTAACAAATACATAATAAGTATTCGGTGAAAACTGCTGGTCTCTAGAATTTCGTTTCACTGATAAATTATAACGAACGTGAAAATAACCATTTATTCGAAGTTGGACGGCAAATCTCCTATAGAATGCTCCTGGTCTCGTTATTCGTTATTCTAAGTTATTATTAAAGAAAGAACTAAACCAATTATGCCTTATTGATAAAAAAAAAAAAAAAAAAAAAAAAAAAAAAATGAAAATATTTGTAAAAAAAAGCCATTCGTAGGTTCCCGCAAATTCCGTATAGACAGAAGTAATATTCTTTATCAGATGCCTGTTGAATCTCTTACCTAACCCTGCCATAAACTAAATCAGACAGTCATAACTCGCAATCGCGGAAATACGGAATACCAACAGTGGAAACAAAGTTATGCGATTACTGACGTGGCTCCTAATGGTGGATTTTTATTGGGATTTCAGACATTAATAAATTCAATCGCCCGCCTAAATTTTAAACCAAAAAAAAAAAACCCCCCAACTAGCGAGCCCGAATAAAGTAGGAAGGGTAGGGACCATGCTTATGCCGTTTATTTACTGATGTATAGAATGTTCGTTAATAACGTGTACTTTTATCGTAGCAAATTTTTAGTACACAAATTTACATAAAACGGATATAGACGGGATCCATTTTCAAGTTCTTGTAAAGTTTGGCTTAGCAAAAAATACGAAGAATAATAATGTTTCGGATTGTAAACGCTGTAATAGAAATAAAACGAGACGAAAATAATGATGGCCGTGGATTTCCAGATAGTGTGTACACATCGTATGCAATACGACGTGTGTGTATTATAATGACAAAAGTGTGCGCGTAAGGTATACGACACGGGTGCACGGCGCGTGCATCGAAAAGATCGTCGGCCGGATGTGACCCAGCGGCGTGGCGCACCGTAGAAGTATCAAGACGTCTGCGTCAGGATGATTATTTATAGTTTATCGTGTGATATTTATCGCGTGTCGTAAATAAATTATGTCGACGGGAACGTACATGTGTACATGTGTAACGGGCATTGTAATACTATAATACCTATTGGCGATTGACCCGTTTGCCGTTAAACTATTGACACCTTTCGTTTACTCGCTCCGGTTAATGTCCCATTCCGAGGGCGTGCCGACCGGGCTATTGTGCTTCGTCACTCGAATCGCTACACTCTGCAAAGCCGCTTGAAGATCGAAATGCCCAGACGCGGTGCGGATAAGAGGTGTCGCGGGCAGGCCCGGCGGACGGCACGGGCAACGCGGCGGCGTTCCCTTAGGCAGGGCCGTATTTAGGATGACGTGTGGTCGCCCGGGCGTTGGGCGGTAGGCCGTTGCGAAAACCCGAAAACCGTTTTTGGAACACCGACGAACGGAAAAGGAAAACGAAATAATTATTGCGTTTTTATCATTCGAAAATAATAACCGATAAGCATCCGGCAATTGTTAATTTCGGTCGGGACGGTTTACGGCACAAGTACGTGTGCACAATGCTGCGTCCACACCTGACAAACGTTCGGGGAAACATTGTTTGTCAAAAACATTTTATTAATGACAACAAAAGTTTGTTTATAATTCGTTGTTCGCTATATGTTTGCCATCGGTCGTGACCATGTCAGATATTGATCAAGTCGCACGCTGCATTGACGCTACTGCGTTTTGTTATAATGCGTAATAAAATATCAAAAAAAAAAAAAAAAATTAATAAAAAAAGAAGGTGGTGGGAAAGACAACTTTTTCGGAGAAGAAATACTCGCAGTGGTGAGAATTTCATTTTAGATTTACATGACAGTGATTTATTTAGTAATTTTACCAGAATGTCAAGTATTGATTTCGAATTTTTAATTAATTTAATTGGCCCGAAAACGGTATATTGTTTAAATAGTAAAACTATTGACACCTAACCTCACGTATGTATCCGTTCAGAATTTAAAATTATTAAATTACATTAATAAACATTTAATTAAATAATTAAAATTATATAAATTATGATTGTTATTTAAATTAATATTATATAATTTACAAACATACATTGAAAATGTTCGCTTGGCGAGCGAACATTTTTGTTTGGATTATCGACAAACAAATTTGTTTGGAAACGCGTCTACATCAAACAAACGTTCGTAAAACATTCGTCGAACGTTCGACAAACGTTTTTCTAATTGTTCGTTAGGTGTGTGGACGCGGCACAATACGCCGGAATTACACTCGACATAACGTATACGAACGGATGTTTCTCCGAAATCGCGCGCCGCGTTCGCGTCCGAACGTCGATAAACGATAACGATAACGCACTGCGCTATATTTATTATTTATCATACGAATTGTTTATTTTCGGCGCGGCGACACGGGCTTTGCGCTGACAATACTAGCGGACTAGCTCGGCGCGCTTAATATCGACGGTATTGTTTGTTTTCCCGTCCGTCGGTTTGCAGCGACCCCCCCCCCTCACCCGGCAATGTGTTTAGAGTTAATTGCCCGCAAAGGACTGGGGGTGAACAGAGAGATCGAAAACGAAAGGGCGACGAATTCCGATTTCGCCTGTGTCCATACATTTTGTCCGGAGCCGGCCCCGGTTGTGGGCCTCGGTGGACCGTTGTAATATCATGATCGCTCCGGTCCGTCAATTCGAATATTCCGCCGAAAACGCGGTATCGCGGATGCCGACCACTCAACGTGCCACAAGGTTGACTTCGCGATGCGTCCACGGACGTTCGCCTTTCCGCGTAGCGCGCCGGCGTTTACTGTTTTGCCGTTTAGGGCGTACGGACAACCGTGGGCACCGACGGTCGAGCTTCGTGCAGAGCATTCGCCGACGCCCAACCGAGATGGTGCGACGCGTTGCGTATACGATGTTTGGCTATTAAGTAACGAGACTGCTTATGAAAAATGGTTTTATTTTAAACATTATTCCACAACCGAATGTTCCCCTTCAATATGCTCTCCTCCCCTCTTCACACACCGTTTCATTCGTTTCTTCCATTGCTCGAGGCCGTGCTGGAAGTCTGTTTTCGTAAGACCATTCAGGAGTTCCGCCGATTTTTGTTTCACCTCTTCCATCGATTCAAACCGAATTCCTTTTAAGGCGGACTTTATCTTCGGAAACAAGTAAAAGTCGCAGGATGCCGAGTCGGATGAGTAAGACGCGTGTCCGAGTACTGGAGTGCCTTAAGCGGCCAAGTAACGCTTCACAGACAGCGCGTTATGGGCAGGTGCGTTATCCTGGTGCAAGATCCACGACTTGTTTTTCCACAATATCGACCGTTTCTTACGAACTCATTCGCGCAATGTTGCCAAAACTGTCAAATAGTAATGTTGGTTCACAGTTTGACCCTCTGGAACCCATTCAGTCATCACGATGCCGTTGATATCGAAGAAAACGATCAGCATGGTTTNTTATGCCACTCAAAAACACGCGCCCGAGATAGGAAATCCTCACTATAGGCCTCTTTTAACAACTTATAGCACTCAGTTGGAGTTTTTTTTAGTTTAACGAGAAAATTTTACGTTTATCCGTTGCTCATGTTTTTCGTCACACATCGTTTTCGGCAAGAGAAAAAAACATGTTCGTTTATAAACGCTACAGAAAAAATACTAATGCACCAACAAAAACCCAATTCTGTACTGGCATAATAGACACTTCCAGCTAACCAGCGCTGTATTCAGTTTTCCCCTAACCTTTTTGGAACGCTCTCTGCGCGCGCAGTCTCGTTGTTTAATAGCCAAACCTCTTAGCTCGTATGCGAGCCGGTACACAAGCAGATCGTTACCAAATACATACCTATTCATAATTTTCTGTCGAATTTCCCCCGAAAAATTGTGTCTGCTATTTTTTTCCTGGTACCCGTAGACACTCTTTGCGGCTTCCTCTGGACCAAAAGGACTCAAACTCGGGAATTCAAGTTTTTTTTTTTTTGTGTAGACGCATTGAAATGATACGATAATTGTGGGTTGTTACGGAAGGAGGGCGTTTATAGTTTTGTATACCCCTACAGATCCTCCGAACGAGGCCAGACGTATGAAATTATTACGCATAAGCGTGGTGAGAGTACCTTTTGGTGGTTTTAACTTTAAACCCCCTCTTCCCATCTATCTTCCTCAAATGTCGTGTTTTCACGGGGAATAACGAGTATTGAATAGCCTTAGGGGTTC